GATGATTCAAAATTGCGGTTGGGTAGTGGAAAAATTGTGGAAGACATTCTTTTCAAGTTTGCTAAGGATTTGGACTTTGAACAGTAAGTTTCTTGAAACATAATTAATTATTCTTCTTTTCCTTATAACTTATCATTCTCGATTTTGACACATATTATAAGCCACGCACATTCATATATCATAAACTGTGAGGATGCAAACATAAAATCCTTATTCAGTAAAACAGAATGGGAAGAATTGACTGTAGATCGATTGGGTGTTCCTCCCATTCCACAAGATATTGCAAAGGAGCTGTCTCGATATGGAACAAAAACTTTAGGAGAGCTACGTAAGGTTGTGATGACGCCATATCTTCAAGATAAAGTTACTTATGATGTTCAACAACATTGTGAGCTAGAATGGATCCAGATGGCTGTGAGAACTCTCGTTAATCTATATGAAAATATAGACTCACCCTTGGTACGAAACCAATACGAGGATTGGTTTACTGTTGCTCTCTTTGGGGCTTGTATTGACTTATGTATGAGAAATGGACAACTTGGCACTGATGTAAAGAGGTATTTTACTATTCTTCCATTGGTGCAGACAATAAATCATTTTCACTGAATATATTTCCTAATGTAGCTTTGTTTATTATTCATAGAACCGATGCGCCATCCTTAGCCAGTGCTATTAGGAAGAATCGCGCTCAACCATCTAATGCAAGAAAATTTATTGGTCGAAAAATTGATGGCATTATTTACATAATTAACAGGCTTCTTGAAGTGGGGGCGATCGAGGCGGCGAGGTCCTTCTTGGGAGAATCAGATCGGAAATGTCTTATTGAAAATTTTAAAATGCCGAAAACTCTGCATGACATGCTGGCCGAGCATATCAGATCTGTTGACTATGATGATGAAAAAATAGACAAACTTCAAGTATTCGGTATATTGCATCTTGGATTGAGAGTCCAATTTACAAGGTTGTGGAGGGCCGGTGGATCAATCACAATTTTCCATAAAGATCCCCAATTGTACTATTTAGATAACAAGTTCTCGGTACAAGGAATTAGAACCTTCCTTAAATTTCTAGCCTCAATATATCAACGCAAGGTGAAAATTTTATTCTTGCATGCCTCCAATGACAGATAATTAGATAGCTTTCCTAATCGTTCAAACTTCATTTACACAGGTCATTATTAAAAATAATTTAGACGTTCTGGATAATGGGGAAAATGATGATATTGAGTCAAAGGAAGATGATTTATATAACGAGTTAATTGAAGTTGGCCGACCATCTACTCCATCTACACCAGCATCTTCACAATCGGTTAGATATTTTGCTGATTGTTGGAAGACCCCGAGAAAGGTTAAGCCCAGGAAAAAGATGAGGTTTGAATGAGATCTATTCGATAATACCGTCAATATCGTTTTATTTTTGATCTAAAAAAATGGGTACTAGTTGGGCTGCAAACATTAATATAAACGAAAGTGAGGTCTAAATTACGTATGACAAAATGGAAATATCATAAA